GCTATTCGTATGTAGTTCGATACGATCTTGTCGTGTTAATTACTTTTGTAAAACGCAATAAAGTGGATAAGAAAATAGAAAATACATTTCTCGTTACCGCATTTCTGGATGAAATATGTGTTTTAAATATGCCTCTCTGTGATAACTATTGCATTTTATCAAAATTAAACATGACAAGAAAGCATTAATGCGTGATTGAATAACGTCAAAGAGAATATGTTTCAGGGTTAAATTATAAATTTTAACTTCACATTTAATATTTGATTTTATACACATCAAAGCAATAAAAGTGATTTGTCTGGATTTCTCAAATATAAATTTGCCAAACTTGTAATTAAACTTCACGATCTTGGTAACTAAATGTATAGTAGAACAATTTTTAAATTAATAAATTGATAAATTATCAGGGACTGAATAGCGAGGTATTAATATTAAAATAATAATAATATGTACGTAGTAAATTAATAAAACTGATATTAATTAAAGGAAAATGTTGATAAAAATTATTTTTTGCAACATATATAAATTTTTTTTTCTTCTATCATTTACGTATAAAAATATCTACTCTTGAACGATGTGCGCACAGTCAAAAAACATTCCCTATTCGTCAACGTTAATTTGATTCAGCATTCTTGTATTCTCGACCGCTGCCAGGCAGTACATTGAATATTTTTACTAGCGAATTGTCTGTTGTCTCCAACGCGACACGTTCACGTTTATGAAAGAATACAATAATTTGTGTCGGAGAGAAAATTGTGCTGTCTTTTATTTGATCACTATTTCCCATGTAGTCTTTTATTACTGCTTTTCCTGTATTCGCGAATGTTTACGTTCTCATCCGAACGTGCGCTGGCTGCGTTAATACACCCACGCGCGATTGCGTGAGTATGTTGATACGCGTATATGTTCGAACGAAGGCTTCATTGGATTGAATAAATCTCGCGCGGCTTTGCTCCGTCTGTCTGTAAAGAGATATGCTTGTAACCGCGCATTTCCATTTGAAATCCGGCGAGGCGTGTATTTTACAAATTGTTCCTCTCGACGTGCTCTTGAATTACCTGTAAATCCTGATTCAAGATTAATCGAATACGCGGTAGCCATTGCGTTTGACCGACGCTGCCAACACGTTACTATGAGGCAATAAGCTTTGAGCCAGACAGTGGTCTTTCGCCTGTACTGTTGCACCGGATAATAATATACGTACAGTGCGCAAATAATATTCTCGGGATTTATGCTATCGAATCGATCTGTGAGTTCTGTAGAATTAAAACTTGTAACTTTCGATGTAGACGAAATATCGACATTCGATCTATCAGCTTGATAAAAAAAATAAGCAATGAGAAAAAGAAAGAAATTAAAGAAAATAAGACGACAGGAATTTTGAATGTATATAAATCTTAGCCTCTATCTTATATAATTAAAAATGTATTAAAGATTTACAAGAAGCAAAAAAAAACATATCTTTGATCGCATATAAGATTTAAGCATTTACAATAAACTAACTTACAACTGTTAAAAAATGTTTAATAATATTGCTGAAAAAGTAATTTAATAGGATAGAGCTATATAGTTGCTTGAAGAAAATCAATTCGGGATTATAGATATTTTTTCTTTCGTGTTTGCGTCGCTTTTCTGTCCTCCACGCTTCCTGCCGGAAATTAACGAGGGGACGGTAACGAATCGCTGCCTTCCTTCTGTCAATCGCGCAATCTTGAAATAAGCCGAGTATGGGATTAATATTTTCCTATATTGAAACTATTTTTATCACGCCGGGAATTAATTTACATCTAAATAATTTCCGCGTTATGAATTATTAAGAGACTAAGACTAATTTTATTGATCAGTCTTTATAAAATACATAAAAATGGGAAAAATGCTATTTTTCAGTTTAATTAATCTGCTTGTTAAAATTTTAATACTTGGATATAATTACGTTTTAATTAAAAAATATTTAAAAATTAAAATGTCATGAAGAAGATTGCTACTGAAACTTGCCAGGAAGAAATATATTTTTTTATATTTATTTACTTAATTTATATAAAAAATATTTAAAAATTAAAATGTCATGTAGAAGGTTACGTCTATAATAAAGCTTGCCAGGAAAGAATATATATATTTTTTATATTCATTAACTTAACTTATAATTATATAAAAACATCGATAAATTGAAGAACAAGCTTAACTTGTGTACGTTACACGCGCTCGTATAGCTTGTATAAGATTATTTCTAAATAACAGGGGCCGCTAAAAAGGGGAACGCAAATATGGAACGAGGAGGAGTGTCGCCAGCGGATGTGCAAGTGACGACGCGGCATAGTTTTGAAGATGAAACAATGAGAACTAGCGACACGGTCAGTTGCAAGCTGGGAGCGGGCTCGCTCGTCCATGATCAATTATTGTCATTTAGAGGCTACGCCTGACAAAACTCATCTAAGATTGTAAACGCGGTCGAAATTCACAACGCGGAAAAAAAGCGAAGAAGGCGATGCGGAGTAGGAAGCTAACAATCTTCTGGATAAAGATCTGATGCGTGCTGTGTTTAATTAGCGTAACGGACGAATAATATTCGTAAGCAAAACAATAATACAATTTTGCTACGTTGTTAAAGAGAAGAAATACATAATTACGTAAGTCGCTTCAATTTTCCGCTGAAAGTATGGCGTCGACGTTGAGAGAGCGGGGAAGGTGTGCTTCGCATTTAAGATAATCGTATTACCGCGTATCAAAATTAGGATTAAGCTGATTAACTTTTTTGTAAATCGGAATAACAAGAATTATTTGAAATTCTTTAGACATTAAATTCCTTGACTGTTTGATTTTATCGAGGCATTTTTAAACAAAATGTACTAGATCCCTAAATAGTCGAATTTCCATATTTTTGCACTCTTATGTCTTTGTTTCCGAGGGTGCAGAAGGCAAACTCTAATTCCTACGTGAAAATTAAGAATCAGGTTTTATGTAACATCGAGCAATTACATTCTTCTGATGGATTTAGCACGATTTAAGAGTTGCCTTTTTCTTTGAACTGCCTTCAGCCTCGCACAAGTAGGCGGAGATCTATTCTGCGATCTAATCGGATAATTGCCGAGAAGGATAATTTGCGTTCCTTCCTTCTCGATCGACGTGGTTTACCAGGCTCGATATCAGCGTGCCAAGTGTAGCAAAGTCTCGATAACCATCGGGACTTTGCTCGAGGTTCCGTGTAGCTCTAAACAATTTAAAGAAAATCATTAATAGCTTTTTCAGCGCAAAGTAATACTTTTCTGCTTTTTTCAGAGAGATCTTAACATCTACGTGATGTAAATATAATTATGAAAATAAGCACGTTTGTAAATTCAGAGGTATTATTACGCCTTTATAAAGCCTCTATTATTCTCCGTGTTTCATACAATTCGAGTTTTTTTTCTTTTATAGTCCATATTAGTCTCGGTCTCATTCGAACTTGAGCTTATTCGACCTGTTGAGATTGCTTTTATCGAGACATTTGATGGTCGATGGTAGAGCAAAGGCGCTCTTAAAATTAATTTACGCGTGCAGCGGAGCGAGGAAGAAAGACGTAATTAGATTTGCGCGCGTGCGTCATACTTTTACAACCGCCGCCGCGATGTTTCTTAACTTTATTAATTGCTGCAACCTCATTGCGGCAATTTGATGCTCCGCTCTAGAGATCATTATAAGTTAGACGGCGCGAGCGCGAGCACGAGACAGCGTCGGTGTCGCACTTACCTGCGCACCTACGCCCGCGACGCACCGTATGTGCGCGCGCACGCGCGCGAGTGTGTGTACATAGCCGCAGCAATTACTTAAGGCCCAGTGTCGGTGTAAGACGCTCATGTAACTTGGCCGACGAAACTTTACCGGTTACTCTCTTAGTCTCATCCATTAGTAGACGGCCCGCCCTGCGACACGGTTGCGGTTACGTGTCTCGCTTTAGCGCTTCAGCGTTTACACGCGGCCAGGTTTTTATCAATGTTGTAAGTTTAGGTGACAAGAAACACGGTAAACTGGCTATTAATTCGTGAATAGTTAAGGAAACTTGATTAAGTACTACACCGAGGAGAACAATTTCCGCGTGTAAACAGTTTTTATTATATCAAACATCTTTTACATGTATTTTCGTTTATGGAATTGCTTAATATAAAATGTTATCTATTAACAATTTTATTTTGTATAAATCTTTACATAAATCTTGAATTCTTTACATAAATTTAATATATAATCTTTAATATATAATCTATTAATAATTTTAATTTTAATATACAATATACATAATATTTTCAATATAAACTAAATTGTGTACTATAAGAATTTATTTTTGTAACACAATAAAAAAGCTTGACGTTACAAACGAATGAATTACTAACATTTGAATCGAGGACACTTGATTAGCAATTATCTGCGCACCAATCGCGTTTAACAAGCACTGTCGTTAGCGTCGAATCGGCATCAGTCACCTTTCTTGCCGCATTGTTCTCGATGACGACACTCAATACGAAAAGCTGATTTGCATTCCCCGCTGAAAGCGAAATAATATCGCATTAATTCAGCCACGCCAAGCTGTTAACGACGAGCGGCCGGAAAAGATCGATATCGCGAGAAGGAAAGAAATATCTTCGGGAATCACTTTTAAAGATCTTTAGGGGGAGTTGCGCCACAATTAATTGGGATCGCCTCCGTAAATTGCCGAATTAATCGCGAAATTAAAAAGGATGACGAACGAGGGGGACCGGCCTTCTTCCTGTCTCGGGGCATCTTCACATTGATTCTGCAATTAGCTATCGACTCATCTGGCAGGACGAGGGCAGGAGTCAAATCGAGAAAGTTGGTCTCCCTGTCTCCGAGTCTGGATATACGCCTCCTCGCTCGTCACCCCCCCCCCCCTCTCTCTCTGTCTTTGTTTCTGTCTCAGTCTCTGTATTTGTCGGCTGCTGTTCTTTCCCTCTACACCAGCCAATTAGGTTAATTAACTCAATTATCGTTCTCTTTCTCTCCTGTTTCAGGTGCGCACCTTGTTCGTGAGCGGCTTGCCGATGGACACCAAGCCGAGGGAGCTCTATCTGCTTTTCAGAGCGTACGAGGTGAATCTCTCTCAGAGAGTTTGCTCTCTCTATATTCACTTTATTTTATATATATAAACGTGCATTCGCGATGTTGAGATCAAAGGGTCCGGGAGAATTCAAGATTTGGAAAGTCAAATATTCCAATGGCGATGCGCGGAGTATCCATCGGGTTCCCGAATGTGAACGATGTGATATTGAAGGACCTAAAGTTCTAGTAACATTAATATTCTATCGCGAAGTATAGTCAAAAAAACGAAAGCGGAAACAGAGTTCAAAGATCCGAGAGCTCTCGAGAGAGAATCGAAGAACGTGGAATGTTTAAATTATTATTTTCCGAGTGTATTTACGATTAAAAAATTCAAACCTTCATTTTACATATTCCGATATTCTATGATCTGAATCTTTTAATTCATCAGAATGAAACAAAAATACATATAATTTTTTATTAATTTGTAATTAAATTATTTAATTATGATTATGTATTAATAATTAATTTTCGCAGTATTCTATAAATCTAAATTTTTATATACCTGTGTATGCAGAAATGTCGAAATATAAAAATATACTGGCATTCTCTAATTAATCTCACATCGCTGCGCATTTAGTTATATTTTTTAATTTTTCGGATAGTTTTGGGTAATTTTTCTCTGTCCTCATTACCGCGTCAATTATCTTCGTTTTCCTCATCCGACTCTTCGCCGGCACGTTTAACTCGTCGTTCAATAAGTTCAACTGCGGTCTACGGTTCTCGTGGTATCATGCGAAACGCAACATTATGACTGAAGCGTTCGAACTGTATTCACAAGGGGAATATTCCCCTTATGAATCATACTCGTCTACTACGCCGACCGTCCGCCACAGGAGAGACGGTACTCCTCTATAACGTCATATTTGCTCGACTCGGGATCCTAGTTTAGTTTGTCTAGGGGGTTAATTATGTCGGTGCCAATTACGAGCTTGCATTTCGAGCTCCGACACCAGCGGAGATGAAAAATCGATAGCCATGGAATTTGATGTTCCTCGTAGCCTGTAATTTTATGTGTGTACGAAAACTCATACAAAAACGTTGTTTTGTTAGTTTGTTTTGCGTTCATATTTTGACTAGCCAAAACGCAAGTTAGTACAAATTAATGAAATTTTGCAAACCAAAAGAATAGCATAAATTGACAAAAGAAAATTTTATGAAAGAAAAAATATATTTTTAAATTAACATAAGCAAATGTATTTAATTATAATTTTTAAGTTAATTAATGCTTTTGCATTAATATTGTGAAATATTCTAATCAATGACAAAATTTATATCTATTTTTAAGTTAATGCTTTTGCATCAATATTGTGAAATGTTCTAATCAACGAATCTGACAAAATTTATCGAACATTATGCTCGTGAAAGTTAAGTTATTATACGTTTTGCGATAAATACGTCCGGGACGAAATTCAATCGCGATTTAGATCGAATAGTGGCCGAAGTACAGAGAAACCGCGGTTATTTGTTGCCAAGGAAGGAAGGACAGGTGGAAAAACGGCGAAATTGTTCTCGCTCCATTTGGAAATCTCCCTCGAAAGTTAAATCCGGGAGGTTCTCTCGAGCGTGTCGTTATTCGATGGCGAAAAAGGCGGCAGCGCGGCGCGACACGGTTTTTTTTTACTTCTCGCTTCGAGCCTTGTTTTGTATATTCATGAAATCGTTGTGAGCAGTTCGCTCAAAGGGATTAGGATTAGTCGCGTGGGTGTGTTGGGGAATTACATTTCCGGCGAGCGAGGTGCATAGAGACGTTCGAGGAGCGTCTCTTCTTTACGTAACGGTCCCGGGGCACTTTAAATAATGATTTTACGCGACGAAATGTAATACAATAATTTTCTGATCGGTTTACGGACTAATGGAAGAGAAAGGATACTCGATGAACTCGCAAATTGCGTTTATGCAATCTTGAAAGCCATTATATTGAATTAGCATTATCTTATTATTTGTAAGTGTATGCGATAATTTTATATGATAATTTAATATATTAATATTATGTGCTGCAAGATAATTACAATAGTGTGCAGAATACATTGAAAAGACTTGATGACATAATTATTAACATATAAATATGCGTAGTAATGTATTGTAATTCTTTTCGATTATGCAAATCGATTTTATTTAACATTATTGTGATTTAAATGGATTTTTGTTGATATTTTCTGATTTTCTATACTTTTACATGAATTTTAAAAAATAAATGTTTTTTTTTACTGTAACTTTCAATCCCCTACAATACTCTTTTTCAAATTAAAGAATTTAATTATCTTTGTTAAAATCCTATTAAATTTTATTTAAAAATGGATGAAAAATGAAATATTGTTATATATGCGTATCCTGCAGAAATTGATTGGTGCATCACATTGCTTTTATGCAATCGTTTATAATTGATACACGCTATTCGCCTTCTATTATGACCTAGATAAAATTTTGGATACGATTCCTGATACGTTCTATATATAACACAACAAGAAATAATTTGCATAAATATGACCGAGATTTTTCTCATACATGTCTCTTTCATATAATACGAATTTTTTATTTCACGAAAAAGATATTACAAAATATTGTTGCACGACATTTTCATAAAGAAATTGAAATCATATTGTTATTAGAATTAGCTTGAAGTCGTTATTGAAAGCGACAAGAGTTGAAAATAGGAATCGCGAAAATCGGATCACGATGAAGACGGCAAACGTCGTGCGACGCGGAAACGTGCGCGCTTTCCCAATGTACAATGTGCACTGACGGCGATGTGGGAGTGATGTATATTAACGGCGGTCGTCTTATGCACGCGAATCGTTGCTCCTCGTGTCAAGAGAGAACGCGATTTCTTGGCATCGATACGACGATGACACATGACTGGCGACATATCGCGAACAATAAACCTTGAGTAGCACACCGCCGGCGCGTTATTTTCGCCCGCAAATCTCTCGGTGCGCACGCCCGAAGAATCCCGCGTCGCGCGAATCCGGTTATTAATCGTCTTTGAGATATCGTAACGTTATACGTTGCGCATAATCCGCGCGACCCGTTTTCCGTGGATTTACGACGAGTTTTCAGCGCGCTCGGAAGAAGAGTCGGGCGGATCAGTTGCGCTCGCGCCGACGTCTCGTATACCAAACTTTCGGAGAGGTGCAGGAACTGTTTGCACATCGTATCGCGCGAGCACAACATATGCGAGTGACGGCGAAAACTCGATTATGCTTTCCCCCCAGGGGAGACCAGCCTTTTAATGACTGCGATATTTCATAGTTAAGGGAAGTTAATTAATAATGTGCCAGACCGAACTGAGCGCCAAGAATGTTGAAACGGATATCTTGGAAATGTCACAGTATATCTAAGACGATCTAAGACGCATATTTTTCAGATGAGCAGAATGAAAATTTAACATTAAAATTTAACGCCGTGTGAATTAATTATGTTTCTAATGCAAAAAATTGCAGAAGAGTGATTAATCAATCTAATAATTCGAGCTACGTAAAAATATCAATCTCGCTTTTCTGTAATGATTACAGTGTTGGTGCAAAATTAAATTTTATATTTTAGATTGAAAAATTTTTATTGTAATTGATATCAAAAATTAAGCAGCAATATTTCATGGACCAGGACAGGTTGATTAATGATGTGAGATTAAGAAGCTCGCGAGTGCCAAGAATGTTGTAACAGATACTTGGGAAATCTCGCGCATCGATCCATGCGTCTAAAGTGAGACATTTAGGTGAAATTCAAATTTATCATTAAACTTCCTAACTTATTTAAATAATATAACATGCGAGTCTATTTCTAAATTTTTAATAGGAAATTATTTCAGAGAACAATCGATAAAATTAATTATTTAAAAAATTCTTAATACATATTTTTATATATTCTTATACGAAACTATAAATTGCATACTGATAATTTTTAATTTTATTTTTATTAATATACTATTTTTAGATAATTATTATAATTGTAGCTATACAGTTAATTGATACATTGATACTTGTATAAATCTCGGAAAATAGTACTGTGTATTTTTGCGATGTGCTCGCGTATGCAAGTTTGAACTCGTGAAAAACGTGGTACGTCGGATAAACGTTCCGAGACTTACCGCGCTCTCTAATTGCGGCTTCGTTAATTAGCACTTCCATCGCGATCGCGCAATTATTAACAGTTTGGTACTCTGGTAATGAACACTACTTACAGCGTTCGCATGTAACCGAGTGCTCATCTCGCGCGTTCCACTTGAGGCTCTATTATAAAAATTACGGAAACGTTACCTCACTCGCGAGGATTTCTTTATCTTTGGCGTTTGCACGAAACAAGATTCCTGATAGCGCAATAACGAAGTGTTACGCATTGAGTTTCGCGGCAAATTAAAAACTCTCTTACTCACAGGTAATAATCGGCTTTGCTCGTATCAGGAAACGGAATAGAGCACGTTAACGGTGGATAATTTAAGCGATAGCCGCTGAGAAATTCATGGGTGCCTTAGCATTTGTGTTAGATTAAATAAAATATGTGAATGTCTTGCCTCACTTTTCACCCGGTGTGCTCTTTGCTATTCTGAATAGTCACCGTAAATTCTGTGGCTAAAAGACCCCAGGCGAACGCATTTTGGCTAAGTCACGCAACCACATACATCGTGTGTACATTATATTTTTAAAATAGTTTTTCAGAATAGAAACTGTATTTCCATATTAGTCGTTTACAAGTGGTAGTTAATCTATTGCAAGTTTCAAACATTTTCACATAAATATTGTGATGTTTGTTTCTTGTTTCAAAAAGTTACTCTTAAAAACAAGGGAATTTGTTTAAAAACTATCCGCATTTTCCAGGAAACACGAAAGCAATTATTTTTATGTTATATTTCATCATTTAGTAGTGAATAGATTCAGTATAATATTTCAGTTTTTCAATTCCTATTCCGTACTTTTTTATACGAATCATCATAAAACTATTGACATCTTTGTTTTATTTTGAAGTAAAATTCACAGATATCAAGTTCATATAAAGTTAGTCAATTTTTTGTTTAATCATATCAGTTATTGATAATATTTTGGTATGATAGAAGTTTTAATAACGTAATATATTTTTCCTGTTCCAGGGGTACGAGGGGTCGCTGTTAAAAGTCACGAGTAAAAATGGGAAAACAGCGTCGGTAAGTTGCCATCGCTTAATTGACGTTACGACGTTATACGTTTTCAATATAACGTTTTTTTAATATTCGTTCCGAAAAAGCGCGCATCGAGCTTTTAACACAGATAAATTTGTCCTAGATTCGCGCGCGAGATAGCTCGATACTGTCGATATACGTCGTTTCTTCATGCACTTGAGACGACGAAGAGATAAAATTGGATCCCGACTTTTCTCGAGCACATTTCTAGAAAACGTACATTTCTCGCGAAAACTCCGAATCAATTACACGGAGTAGTGAAAATAGCGCAAACTCTTTCTCTCTCTCTCTCTCTCTTTCTCTCTCTCTAACATGACCATTCCTAAGGGAAAAAAACGAATGGAAAAAGTTGGTCAGCCAAACCGCAAGTTTCGATCGAATTTTCGGACCACGGGGGAGTTCACGTGATTTCATGCATTCTCTGTTATACATTCGTGTTGATTCTTTGTCGACTCATTTTTTATTAACAAGGCTGTTTAATGTATCAAATGTTACATATTCACATAAAATTTTCATAATAAACTAAATAGAAAAATAACTTTGTACTAATACAAGTAACTAATACAAGTTACAAAAAGTATAATTTTTCTATTTTAAGTATCTCTTTTTGAAAGTAACGGCTTCCAGAATTTTGTACATATAAATAAAATTATTTTCCTTATATGTGTACATACATAAAAGAATGAAAAGTGTTTTGACTTTTTACTACTCCATGTTACGTAAGCTTCGAACTCGCGTGGATTAAAATTGCAGTTCTAAAATGAAAAATTAAAAACGGCAGCTGCTTATGCTAAAAGCTTTTTTTTATTTATTCAAAGCGCGCGCGTTCGTTGATTACGTGAGTCACGAAGCCTTAAAAATATCTAATCAGCCGACAGAGAGAAATACATCAAATTTCATCATGCGGCAATGCCATCGCGCGCGCTACTCAACCCAGTATAATCCCCCGAGATAACATTAATTTATGCGGCGACGCTGGAACAGCACACGCGAGAGCATACTGACGCTGTTAAAGTCCTTAATCCATAAAGCATTTTAACATTTTTTATTCTGGTATCTATTCTTTTTAATTCCGCATCCTTTACCTGCATCTCGCGCGCGCGATAGATGTTACGACTTTCTAAAATAAAACTGCGGCGATCGTATTGGCCGCTGAAGAATTTCATTTCACCCGAGGAACGTGGAGTAGCGAACGCGTATAAAAAAAATTACGACGGATCTGGGTACAGCAAATTTTTAACTTCTGCTCTGACCTGCTGCTATTCTTTGCAGTTAGGAATAATGAGAATTATGGAACCTTGGGATATGCGATGACAAGTCTAAATTTATTTTGAATTCGCAGTCTAGTCACACTTAGAATTTGTGGATGTACGAGATGATTTATGAAATCTGCGATTTTCCGAGTTATACATTCTTGGAGCTATCTGTCTCAGAGATTATAGATCTTTCGGTCAGTGTAAAACTTCGAATTTACTTATCTGTGAATTTATGAAATCTATCAATTTGATTTTATGGTTTTATCTTTGAACATACCTCAATTTCCGTCTATATATTCTCGGATATATCAATCAATTTTCTGTTGTGCGAAATCCTCGAGCGTATCATCAAATCTGAACTTCAACTCAATGTACGTGAAAATCCTTAAATTTACAGAGAGAAAGAGAGAGAGAGAGAGAAATATCTAAATATTAAAAACTCGTATTATTTCATTATCGTTAATAAATTTCGAGATTTGTCCCATAACATATGCGAATTGTCGAAACAACGAATCCCTCGTCTATCTTCCTAAATTCTATTACACGTTTGACATTGATTATCAGGAAAATCCGCGAATATACGCAGAATAAAGTTAATAACATGTTTTCGTTCCTGCATGCGACTTGACCTCGTTGTAACCAGCGCGGAACGCAAACGGCGGCTCGTAATGGCCGCGGTGATGTAATTGGATATAATACGAGCAGAATGTGAATAAAACGGGCGAGAGAGGTATAACCGGAGAAGGCACGGTTTCCGTGTGAACGGTGCTTAAGTCTCCTTGGCCACTGGCACGGTTGGGTACGACTGACTGTGCGAATCGATAGCGGGTCGGGCCAACCTTTCTGCCATTTGTTTCCTTCGGTCATCGTTGCGCCGGGAAACGAAAAGCAGCAGCCGAAGAGCAGCTTCTCAAAAATGGCGACGAACTGAAAAGATTTTCAAATGTTGTTAGAAAGCTTTTGTTGTGTCTCGCGCATTCTTCCGCTATCTAGCGCGATGTGCCATTGCGGAGTCCGTACAAAGCTCCTTTGTACCACGGTGATGATGATTTATCTACGTCTTGCAGTTGCTGTTGGAAATCTCCAACAAGCGAGAATTTATCTCCTCTTGATCCAATTGAGATTGCAATTCTTTCGGTTTCTTTCACAGATTAAACTCGATTCGGTTTCAGTTTAGTAAGATTAAATCGATCGTGATAATAATAGAGGGTTACAGTTCTCCGATAAAAAAACTTCTCTCGTACCTGATATTGATTAACTCAAAAAAATTTCAGTTTTAAAACAATAGCTAATTACTTTCAGAGCTTGGAGTTAATGTGATTTATAATAACCAAGCAAATAGTATCGCAGCTTTATTTCAAGAAATCTTTTATTTCTTCTGTTAGCACTGATATTATCGGATAAATGTAATAACTTTTAAGCGATAAAAGTAAATAAGTATAATTTCTTCATGATTTTTTTACGTTTTTTATAACATATTAATTTTATTATCAAAAATCTATTTTTTATACGAGTTAATCAAGAGTATCTTACACTACATTTTGTTTTCGCGCTTACATTTGAACATATATTTATTGGCTCTTCTATGAAAAAACAGTCTATTTTTTTTTCTTCATAGTTCTTCATATTTGCAAAGGTAGGCAGAAGCGTATTAAATTTTGATTTTTGAAGCATCAAAAGCAAAACTCGGCAATTTTCTGAACAACGAGTGTTGTTTAAAAAAAAATCCGTGGGGTAGGCATTATCATAATTCCCAGGCTCCTCGATTATACATGACCGCATTGCACCGTGTGCGAAGTGGCGCCTGCCTTTGCCTGCCTCTATCTAGGGTTACATGCATAATTGCATGCGCATTTACATGGCCATGGTGCATACGGACCGCGCGTGGGTTGTCGCTGCGATGGTGGCAGCGGCGGCGGCGGCGACACAAAGAACGCCGATGCCCGGAAGAAAAGCCGATACGCGCGAGCGTCGCGCCGCTGCCGTCGCGGTTCGTGTACCTATATACATACATCGGGAGCGCGCGGTGCGCGACAACAGCAACAAAAAAAATTGAACGAAGAAGAAAAACACCAGGAGAAAGAAGGAAATCGATCGTCTCCGTGGCCGCTGCACGCATGACCATTAACCTACATCGCATCACGATGCACGTATATCGATAAAAAACCGCTCGACCGACGAAGCGATATTACGTTTGGGTATTCCGTGTCCCGATAAGAATTATTCCGCGAATTCGCTGCGATGCACGCTAGGAAGCACGTGGGCCGTGTGTGCGCCCGGCGTGACTGTATCTGATATTCGAATCGAGATGGAAACGGATTGGTACCCCCCCCGCCGCGCGCGCGCGCGCGGAATAAAAACGGGCACAGGTCGGTGCAGTGCACGCCGCGTTTTCAGTTGCGAGAGCTGAATGCCAGTTACATGCGCCGGGTGAAAGTGCGGCACGTTCGCGTTTTTTCCGTTTGTACTTTTAACCGCGATTGATTCAAGATCTATGGCCGCGCGAATTTACTGAATCTGAATTTTTCACGGAACTATTTCACGGAACTTCCATACGAATATTAATCTAGATGTAATTAACGGAGCAATTCGTTTCCACTAATCTCTCGCTCGATAAATCCTTTACGTTTCATTCCGCGAAATATTTAAGGAATGCCGGTAAAATGTTGATAAAAATTTATCTTTTAATTATTTGGCAACGTATTACATGATACTAATGTAGAATTAGAAATATTATTAATAATTATTGAGAGGATATTAATCTCAGAGATAAGAAAATTACTGACATTTTTTTGCAACTTCACGAACAGCTAAATATCATTTGCATTCCAACTTTTCCTCTCCCAAGGCACCTTCTGTGTTTCGATCGCGCGCACTCGATCAAGTGGGATCCAATTTTATTCTTTCGGATGCATGAATATTCGAGGGACGTGGCGCGGAAGTAAACGGCAGCGAGTAACGAATCCTCGCGTTAACGATTCGGGCATTTCTATCTCTCGCATCGATAGAATCGACACCTTCGATTGCAGCTGCTCGTGCAATCACGCGATGCATTATGGAGCGTAGTAGGTTCGCCTTGACGGTCCGCGATCGTTAGCGCGGGATTGATCGGCGCGTTTTCGCGTCGCGACGCCCCATCGTCCTCGCTGCTCCGTTAATTCCGTATAAACCGATGGAATCGATGCCGTCTACCGAATAAATTAGCGGATGCGCGCGCGCAGATAAAAGGGCGAGCTGGGCGAGTATATATTGAGAAATGCAGTGCGCGATGCGAGCACGCGAACAAGAGAGAAAGAGCGCGCAACAATGACTCTGATAATCTTGGTCAGAGCAAGGTATTCTCTATAACTACAATACTATATATCGATAATAGAATACCTTTTTCCATTCATTATATTTATTGCATATTTTTGCAATGTAAAATATCACAAATGAAATTGTCATGGACAAGTAAAATAATTTATTTCTTTATAATATATTAATTTGCATTATAGTTACTAACAGTTTTTATTTTGCAAGAAAGAAACGAATTATTGAATTATATTGTAATTATTATATTTCTACTTTCAAAATAAAATGATTAAATGTCAACATTGGCAGTAGTAAACTCAAAATTTCATTTAATTAAAAGAATTATATACTAATTGTTTGTTCTTTTTTTTTTAAATAAATAGAACAGATTGAATATTTTTCAAACATATTTGTATTATTATTTCTGGAAAAGTTTCATATTATTAATTGTATGAAATGTGTATAATATAGGTACGTTAATTTACCTTTAATTAACCTATGATCTATATAATTTTCTTGTTTAAATAAGACAAAAATTTGAAAAAAGAAAGATATTTTTGCAAATTAAGTTTTAAAGGTACGCAAATAAATAACATAAAACTTTTTTACATAATTTTAAGCTAATTTTAACAGAATGTTATTTTAACGGATCCTTACGATTTTATATGACATGTTATTTAATATCATCAAGTTAAAAATAAGCTTTATCGATATTAAGTTAAATAATGATCAGTATCGATATCTTTTTATATAAAGACTTTTGTGCCTTATTGTTAAATTAAACGAGAAATCTATCTCTTTGACGTTAAGAGATGATCGCGAATTATTTTGCACAGCGATTATTTATCTCACTGTGGCACTTATTATGAACGATACGACAAGCGCTCCCAAATGAGAATAACGATACAAATGGCAGAAACGCGTTGGCGATTCTAAGCTCGTTCGCCGGCAAACTAATGGCGACGATGAGATGTTCGCGTAATGAATGCCCGCCAGGGGGAAGAGGGAGAGTGAGAGACATGCTAATCGTGGATGCGACGAACGAAACGCTTCTTGTTGTATTCTTCTTTCTCATTTCAGCCGGTGGGATTCGTGACTTTTCACACAAGGGCAGGCGCGGAGGCGGCGAAGCAGGATCTGCAGGTAATAGCCCTTTTCTCGCAGGCGTCGCGAGGCAAGGGAAAAGTCGGGGGGAGAAGGTGGTAGACCTCTCGCAAAAGGGTCTTCAGGGTTGACGCGCGGTTGATATAGCATACATACACAGTGACACTCACTCGTACAGATATGCCCGGCAGTACTTTTTTTTTTTCTTTACGACTCCACCCTGCCTTAGATTCTCCAGCTGGCACGGGTTAATGCTACCTCTAGCTCTTATCCCTCCATTAGTTACTACAATCCACGAGACCTCTCTATCTGACTACTCATTTCTCTCTTACCGTAGCTTTTTCTCTCTATCTTTCTCTCTTTCTCTCATTGGGACCAAACGTAGTACTTACCTTTTGTCTACCTGTATACGTACCAAGGCGTATTGTAATAACGCTGCACCGTGTGGCATTATCGATATATCTATATATGGTGTTGTTTGCCTTCCGACAAGTATCATCCCGTTGCATATACATATATCTAAATATAGGTATTCAAAAAATTCGCTGCGAAAGGAATTCCCTCTAGTGCAGTACGGCAAGAGAAGAAGTAGATTCTCGATTTTATTGATAAATCACTTTCTCTCATAAATTTTAAAAAGAAATTATATTATAAATTCAAGATACTAATACTATGTAATATTTGTAATATCATAGATTTTAAATTACTAGATCAAACTTTTACTTTACAGTTTCTCTCTAGAGTTTTAAAATTCTAAAACTTTAAATTCTGTTTTGAAAACTTTTACACAAACAACATTGTATTTAATTGTCAAGCTAAGAAATAATTTTAATTTTGTTTTGTGCACTACAACTGTGAATACACGTATTGATCATTTAAAATATGAATATATTTATATGTAACGCGTATATATGTATCTGTAAATACATATATCTGCGGGGTGATCAACGTTGATTAAAAAAAAAAAAAAGAAAACCTTCGTATCTCGTCACGCGACATACCTTGGCATATATATCTATACATAATTCGGTCGCGGAATAGTGTTACAGCTTTCGTTGCACTACGGCAATCAGATCGAGTTTTCTGGCTAAGTTGGTCACCCCGTATAGCTCTACCATACCGTTGCAACTGACCTCACGCAATCTGCAATGTTATATAACCCAAGTACGGCAACGGTATACTACTACGTACGTATACGTACGTACCGCGTAGAGAAACATCCTTTTGTCGGATGGACACGTTCGCTGGAAACACCCTAGAACGGACTAACAAACCCACCTTATATGAATACACGTACAAGGAGAGAAACACACTCACACATAAATACGTACATAAATACATGTCTACACGCCCTTGTGCTAATTTCCCTTCTACCTCGCGTAATCCCATGTTATTATTATACCTACATCACTTTCGTCGCTAGCCACCTGTGATTCGATCGGCCCTTTCTGTTTGATTTCGCACGCGCAAAAACGCTATAGTGAGTCTGAACGCTGCATTCGACTTTTTGAGCCTTCCGATATTCTTCTTTTTTTCTTTAAAAACTAGTGCAGACATTTTTTATTACGATCATTCACGAAAAAATCCATCGCGCTATTCTCAGATTCTTTTAAAAAGCAAAATATCTCTATAATTAAGTTTTTTAATAAAGTATAGTATGGTAAAAGTTAATAGAATGAAAATACCTATAATGTTAATAATTTCTAGAACTTGTGTAAATGAATTATTTTGAATATCTTGTATAGATTTGTGAGATATTACTGATATATTTTCATATATTTATATGCAAGGATTTAATAAATAATTGGATAAATAATTAATTTTACATTGTTTTATTATAATTATGTTGAGAAAGTAATGTGTAATAGATGTTTCTACAGTTTTGCACTGTCAATTTTGAAATAAACAGAAGCGAATCATTTTGGCTGAATATCCGGATGACAACGATTTATGGAATATCGATTAACATTTTATTTTCGTAAACATCAATCTGGCTTACTTTCGTGTTAAATTTACGATGCAAAATGAGCGATGTCAGTGAAATATATTGAAGGAAAATAAATCACTGCAGAAAACGTGATCGACGTCATTATTGGAATGGTTAGCGTGATCTATCAATATTTATGTAGACATTATTATTGTGTTAATAAGTAATAATTGCTGCAATTTTATATTTATATAATGCAGGAATTAATATTTGCAGGAATTTTCATAAAGAAATGTTATTACATTTGTCGAAAAAAAATCTCTTTTACATATGTTATATAAAAGTTAGTATATTATACATAAAATGGCAAATATTTCTACATTGTGCCACGTGGATATGTTAATTTTTATTTAAAGACAGATATATAATAGACTCTTATCTTTAAATGTATAAAACTCTTATCTTGAAAAGATAATTTGCAATTCTTTGCCTTTCAATCAAAGAATCACTTTTAAGAAGTTGTTGTGAAAAGAAACACAATATACCCGGAAAAACAAGATCTACTAAAGCAAGTTCGACTAAAAGCGTAATTTTATTTCTGACGGAAGATTAACCCGACGCGCTAGTGACGAAAGAAGGGCTCTCCACTATCGCTCTCTTCTCTCATTTTTTTTTTCTTTCTCTCATTTTTGCCTTACTACACTTACCACCACCCATCCACGTGTGCTCCCGATTTACTAATTTAGGGAATCTATTTGCAGCAGGGGGTTAGATTCGATCCTGATATGCCACAAACCATACGTTTGGAATTTGCAAAAAGTAACACAAAGGTTAGCAAACCCAAGCAACCAGCCGCTGCAGCAGCCACCTCGCACCCCGCTCTGATGCACCCTTTAACGGGACGTAAGTATGCACCGCCACTCGTTCACTTGCTGGATACGTCTCACTTACTATTTCTCACCCACTGCACCGACTACAAAGTGTCCCACTTCCTGTTGTCACTCGGCTGTTTTTTTTCAAAAGGATTTTTTTTTTACATACGTATATATACCCTCCCCCGCCCCTCCACCCGGCCCCCGCGACGGGATCTGAGATCTCGTCATCGAGAATCGTACGACAACCGATCAAAGTACGAGAGGGGGTTTCTCGCGGCAAACCTTCGCGATTAATATCAGTTTGCAACGTAAGGTGTGTACACCGAGTATATACACGCGGTATGCGGTTACAATGGCGCTTATGTTGCGCAAATTATCGTGCTTATTACGGCGCGGGATCGACGATAATAACAGCTATGTTGAGCACAGACAATATCCGATTTCCGTACTGACTATATATGAGTACTGCAAATCCCGCAATCCGTCTAAAGTCAACGGGCTGTTATTTTCTCAGACAACATTAGTTTCTTTGTTTTCACAATGTGTTGTTTTAACTCGGATTTATTTATTTATCTACCTATCTATCTTTATTTGTACTTAAGTTGCAAATTTTTAAACCATTCTCTGAAAATTCTAGATTTTTATATCCTATATTTTATAAAATTTTTTAATTGAAAATTGATTATTTGATGCGTTTCATTGTTTTATTATTTATTGTATATTTTCAACAAGCGTAATGTTTATCGTTCTCGTTTAAATCTTTGTTAAAAATATCGGTCATTTCGAGAGAATAAAATTGATTTATATTTAAAATTATTTAATTCAACTGATTGTGAAATATAAAATCAGCAATTTTTTTGGACGTCAGTTTTTGTCTGTGCGAAATCAGTTCTAATAAATAACGTTTTAATGTGCAAAATATTGCCTGCGTACTTTCATCGTTGTTGGACGGTTATATCTAATGCGGGCATGCGTTCTTTTGAGGTATCCTGGGTATAAATCTTGTCGCACATTCCCGTGTGCGCGTTACTGACATTAAGAACTATGTATGACATTAAGATTACTTGTAAGAAGTCTTAGTCATCCATCCATGTGCATTGCGCGGTGCAGATGGGTGGAGAATATGACGAAAATTTACTATAATAATGGATAACACAAAAATTATCTGTCGAACATGAATTGGAGTTATATAAATCTCCCATACTCTCGTTTATATTTTTAGGATATTTTATATGTAAAAAATATCTCAAATTGTCAGATAAAATTTATTTTAATAATAGTGAAGGTAATTGTTAGCCGCAATTCAATATTATAAGCGCAAAATTGGTGGTCGAAGGATTAAAAATCGTGTGGAAAGTGTAAAAATTATAATTGATCGATTGTACATGGTATTATTCTGAGCGATTAAAACAGCTTAATGGCAAATATAATAACGGTACGTGATCATGCTAATGAACGATCGGGAAGCGTGGAAAATCTGTGAGTATACGTTTTATATATTAAAGTGGACACAGAACAGAGAGGGAAGAAACACGATCGCCGACGATCAAGCCAGTATCAAGGTGGCATACATATATTTCGCAGATCGATCACGGGTAATGGAACGAGAGGAGCAGAATAAAGTTGAATAAATCTCGAAGGTCTGCAAGGTTTACGGGCTACGTGCGCGTTTTACACACGCAATAAATATGTATTTGTGTCACATTGCGGAAACAGACTCTTGCGGACGGACGTAAAGCGCATCAGTTTCCGAAGAAACAGTGACCGTGATAAATTTCGCCGTCGCGGGCGCTGTCTGATTTTTGTATAGAATATAAGATCGTCTTTATTTCCATAATATCCGAACGCATCATCCGCCAAGCGGTGATTTATTACCCGTGTCAGTGACGAATGAACTCGGGCTGCAGCTATAATGGTCTTTGTGATATAATAAGGTTGAGGGATTTTAACGTATTAGTAGATTGTTTTAAACATAAAATAAGACGTTACATTTAAAAAGTATTCTGAATTCTTACTGTGTCACAAATTTTTTATCAATCATGTCGCGTCAGCGAAATAATTTATAATCTTTCTTAATTCTTAAAATCCTCTTTCTATGTTAGAAATTGATTATGAAATCTTTTAATGAAAGATTATATACTTATATAGAAATTATGCATTGCTGTAGCTACATTTGGATAATAATAATGCCACATAATCTTTCGAGTAATTTCCTAATTTGCAGATTTTGGCAAATGTTTTGCGGTACGTGTATGTGGAACGGCGAATCGATTATTTAATTGTCTAAAAATTAGCAGTACCACTGATACTATCCTTCTCTGACTAGAATTAACCGTTAATGGCGTTCTTAATATCGCGCAAATAGACCGTATCTAGCGTCAGGAAATTTCGCGGAATAATTTCGTTTTAGGTGGTAGCAATTTCGTACGATGACCCAATTTCATCGCGCCGCACGCCAAGCCACGTCAATAAGACATAATCGAACTGCCAAACGTAGCTTCGACTGGATTACAGATACCTTCGCAGATGCCGAAGAATCGGAGAAATGAAATTATGGAAATAATTAATGAAAGCTCGACACGGTCAATAATATTTAGTCGGGCGAACGTTCAGTTTGTTTTTTCGTAAAATTATTTACGGCATTATCGATGCAATTTTTAATAGATAATTTTAACTAAATTACAAATTAGAAAATGTTAACTAATTTGTGGAATAATTATTTTAAATTACATAATTATCTGCGTAATTATACATAGAATTATATATACTTTACTATCACGGAATAAAAAGAATGACAGTTTCTTCGACGAATATGTGAATTCGATTTCTCTTTAATGAAAATTTAATGAGAAATATAATTGCGAGGACGTTAACATTAAAAATGAAAGAATATTGATCTCTACTGTATAGAGACACGATATCTATGTACATTTCTGAGAATTATAAAAGTTATATATACGTGCTTTCTAGGTTGATAGATTTCGAAATTGTTGCCAACGCTTTCCAAACTCTCAGAGTTATATTCGTCGAAACTTACCTCTTCTATGTTTCGGGGAAACAAGGCCTCGGCTTTGAGTTTATCCGAAGTAATTCGTTGCTTCCAAATCGAATTTAAATGTAAACGGTATCTCGGTAAATTTACATAGTAGCATATCGGTGAAGTAATCTTCAATACGAAGACTGGCCCGCGTGCTCTGAAAAAACAATAATACAAGTTACTTGAAAAATTATAATTTTGACGTACATCAGATTTCCCGCTATTTACGATAGCGGAAACTTATCAATCAACTTATCAATTGTAATATATATATGACATAAAAAGATCTCGGATTCGTCTTTTTACGAAATGGAGAAAGTACTGCAAAAGCGTTTTATGTTACTATTTTCATAACTGTTTTATTTCTGAGAATGTATAGAAATATGTTTATAGATCAACGGTGCAACAGTAACTTGGCACAGATTTCGTAACGGCTTCAGTCACCATTCACTTTGCGCGGAATGCTCGTATCGATGATAAAATGTGACTCATACGGGAAGTTTCTGCACTTTGATCATGCAAAAGCGAGAGAGAAAAATGCAAACGCATGTCAGCTTTTTACGGCGATTCTCAACTCAATTTGCATAAACGTCCTTTAACTAATCAAATGTGTTTTTATTGCAATTGACGTTGCAAATATTTTACTTATAGAATTATTTTGCGCGTATATTTAGGCTGCGTTCCGATATTCACTGCAAGTACTGAAAATTTATAATATACGTTACGTGCACTATAGATTTTCAGCATTGGCAGTGAATATCGGAACGCAGCCTTAGTCGTGTATATATATACACATATACGCACTATTATATAATCTTTTTATTCTTATATTTTTAAAAAATTATATATTTAAATTAAAAAATATAATAAATGACAAATGTGTATAAAATTTTTAATTAATTACGAATACATTTTATTTTGATAAAATATTTTAATTTAATTTTTATTTTTGTCATAAGTTTCAACATTCTATATTTTTAGAGAAAAATATGTTGAAACTTATGACAATAAATGTTTACTTTCAATACTTTTATGGAAGAAAAATTGACTTCAAAAAGATCGAAGAATCTGTTATTAAAGTATGTATAATGCGATAGAAGTATAGGAAACTTTGCAGAAATTTCTCAGATACACTTTCAGGTATAATGCTGAAATTTGTACAAATTTTCGATTAGGAGACACTGGCTTGTTGCATATCAAAAGTTACGTGAGATGCGCGCGAGCTCAATAAAATTTATGATCGCCACCTAAACTGTTTGCTGGTGAATTATGGAGGAGACTAGTCGTAAGGAATAATCAGGTTAAATTGTATCTACACGACCGCCTGTGGTCGTTAATATCCGACGTTTTGTTATGCTAGTCGCACGGATGGCTTTCGTATTTTTCTACATAAGGTGTAATCAATGGACAAATTACAGAGCATCCTAAAAATACGGATACATCTTTCAATGACAATCTTATTAGATGCAGAATGATAATGTTTCTTTTTCTTGTCTATATGCCTTGCCCTTTCTATCTTTCTCTTGGAAAAATGATTATCTTTCAGAATTCCGAAATTTTAATACTGTTTGCCAATTTCAGTGCTGTTCATTCGAGAGATTACGATCGCTTAGTAGTATAAAATACGACCTTAACGAAATTAACGCGATAAATTGTTGTACGTATTGTGTTAAGACTGAAGATTCGCGCGTGGCGAGAAGACGCGCACGTTGATTGTACGCTCCGAAATTCATGGCCCATTTAACCGAGTTTTCCTCGTTTAACCGTGCGTGCTCAGACGTATTATGCATTATCTACGCGCGGAGGAATGCAGCCTGCATTTTCCCGCTGGAAAATGGTATGCTCGGTTGGCTTTTCGCACGCTGCTCGGAGCCCCCGCGCGGATGTCGACGCGACGCCGCCGCGCCGCGCCGGTGTTGAGCTGCACCCGCAGTAGCGTTAACGTTAACACAGATCCGCGCGTTATATGTTAGTTGGAGACGCGCGGCGCC